CCTCTTGCACTCGCAGCTAACCGTTAACTAACATTAAGAAGTGTTAAACAAAACACTAAACATTTAATAAACGTTTAAATCGATGTAAAGCGATAAGTAATGGCCAGGGCCGTCTTTAGCTGACGCAGGTACGAGGAGCGGGGCCCCCCTCGGTCCATTCACAATCGCGTTCCCGGGATGGCGGGGGAGGCTGGGATGGTGTATGACGGGGGACTGCCCTCAAGAGCGGGGCCCGGTGCGACCGCACCAGTTGCACCCCCCTAAGGACGGCCCTGGTAATGGCAGGGATGTTTTAATAATGTGATGTCAGACATGGGAAGGGGCGTTTGTTGCTATAGTAATCTCTTCAGGTGAACGCGACTTCTTTTTTTTCTCTTCTTTTCGCTAGCTGTTTAGCCACGCTGTCCTGACATATGTGAAATATAACCTAAGTGATCATTTTTGAAAATTTGTGTAAATAAATAAAACACTGTATGTACTTCAGAACCTCAATCCTCCCCACCTTCACACCATGCGTATAGACATTACATTAATCATGTTGCTCTGTTTTTTTTAATAGGTATCCTGGATACATTTTTGCATCATGCAGGAGGCAGTTGACACCGCTGTGCCCGCTTTAGGTCTGCCCATGGGGACCGGAGAGTTCACCGAGCAGCAGATGGGACTCGCCAACAAGATCCCGTTAGTGAAGCCCTACTTCAAAAAGAAACACGCACAGAGAAAACTGGACACAAAATGCTTACGTGCTTTAGAGGACCCTATTTTGAGCACGTTATTAAACTCAGACGCACTTGTGTCAGGGGATGGAGTGTTTGTTCTGCGTAACCCAGCTCGACCACAGCAGAATATATGCACCGCCGCCATAGAGAAGCAGGCGAGGATTAGTCAGGTGTGCCTGAAGGAGGAGGATGAGAGCACGGTCGCGGATGTGGGCGTGAGCGAGCTCGCGGGGGAACAAAAGGTGTTGGATATTCAGCGGGTGTCAATAGAGGCTAATGAGCAACGCTTCCAGCCCCAGGAGCGCAACGAGGCGGCGCCCTCCTCCGACGTTTCAGGGTCGAAGTTAAATGACATCTACACCACTGAGACTTTGCAGGGTGCAAATTGCCTCGCCATCAAAGAGGGCGAGATCTTTCAGGATAAAAGTGAGGAGGCCTCTTTGGATCTAGTGTTTGAACTCCTGACCCAGCTCCAGTATCACACGCATCAAGCGGACGCTGTATCGATCTGTGTGGATTTCCTCCAGGGCGTTTGCGTCTATGGCAGTGACTGTTCCCAGCATCACACCGTTCTACCTTACCACTGGCAAATCCGCAGAGCAGATACGCAGATCTGGCAGAGCATATCGGATGACTCTCAAGAACAACTGGAAAGGCTTTATTGCAACCCTGACAATGAACATGTCAGACTTAAGTTTCTGTAAGTGCTTCTGGTTTTGCCCTGTGGGTTAATGCCACTTTTCATTGAAACCTCTTGAGCAGTTTCAATCATTTATGCTTTACCCGAGTACAGCTAAGCTGAGCTTGCAGTTCAATGAGAAAACAGAAAAAAAATGGTGCAAGGGAGGGACTGGTATGATGCCCTACTGAAAAAAAAAAACGGCCTAAACCTGTCTGGTTGACTGTTCTTATCTGGTTTAGTTGACCAGCCAGCTGGTCTCCCAGCCTGATCTGCTAAAAGTGACCCAAACCATTCTACAACCAGAGAGACCAGCAAACCAGCTTAGGCTGTTGCTTTTCAGGCGTATTGTTGGAGACACCTAGTTGAAGTAAAAGAGTGCAGTACATGACAGGAAGTTGCCTTGTATGTAGGAGCGTGTGTTGTGGATGAGGTATATGTGACTAAGAGATTGCTTCTTTCCCATAAGCCTTCCGTTGGCTGGCCTGACGTGTGGAAGCGTACTGACAGCTGTGAGCCGTGAACTTGCTCGACCCGCCTCTGCTTAGTTTGGTCAAACGCACACACATACACGCGCACGCTCCCACTCACTGCGGCTTGCGCTCAGGCAGTCACACGCACTTGTCGCACAGACAGAGAAGGGCTCACACGCACAGTTGCTCACAAACACGCAAATAAATTAGCTTTAGGGACCTACGCAATTATGCACATTGCACACGCTCACCCACCCACACTTGCTGTCATGCACGCACACATTTATGCTCTGTAAATTCCTTTTTTAATTTTATTATATTGATCATTTACACACACAAACACAAACATTCTTAGACCTACCAATCATACACTCCATTGCCACAATTTATATCCCTGAGATGCAAACATGGTGGCTTGACCCAGCAGGAATTTTTTTTTTTGCCTAAACAAAAGGGCCCTTTTGTTTGTGAGAGTCTTGTTTAGGTCCCAAGCCTGATCTGTATGCAAAAGTGGTTTGCAAAAGGAAGTGCACTTGGTCATGACAAAGCAAAAGAGACAGTGATTTTTAATGCTCACCATGACACAGCTCCTGGCTGCTTCTTCCTTGAAGATAGCATTGTCGATTTGTCATGGAAATTCTGCTGCGGGACAGCCGACTATTTAGGGGGTCTTTGTCTACAGAGTTTAATAGACAGAATGGCTACGTAACTGTCTCTGTTGGCCAGTTTAGCCCATTTGCTCTCAGAACTGTGGCTCACAGTGACCTGTTTCATGTTAATAGCTAAAGCCGACCATTAACCTCCTGCTGACTTTGGTAGTTCAGGGGTAAAGTGAGACCCACAGAGCCTGTAAACCACACCCTTTTCGGGCTTTTCCAGTTTAAGATTTCAGAAAAAGACAAGGGTTTTAATTGATAAATATGGTTTAGAATTGAGATACAGTATTTAGATACTTTCTGGTTGTCAGACAAAGTGAAACATCTCCAAAAATGGCTTCTTAGATCTCAATTTGACATTATTTTTAATGCAATGTAAATCATTATTAATGCGACCAAAGTGCCCCAATATCCCGGGGCCACTGTACTTTTGAACGCCAACACACAGGCTCAGGCTGTTACTGTTTACACTGGTTTGCAGTAATCCCCGGGAGCAGAAGCTTTCTTCATTCTTGTATATATCCTAAGAAATGGATGAGCAGGCGCCCCAATAGTTTTTCTTTTTTGTGTCATTGTGTGAGAACCGTGACCCTTGATCCTGAAGGTTTGGTCTCCATGGGAGCAGCTGAGGGTGAGATGATTGTATTTGTCACACAATCTCACTGTGCACCAAGGGCATGGTGACCTGAAACCAAGGTGTTTGCATGTGTGTTTGCGTGCAATTGTGCCTGTGTGTGTGAGAAATGAGATAACACCTTAGACAGGCCATGAAATTATTCACACGGGTGAGGTCTCTTGAGATTTCTCACTTCACCATCAGTTTGACTCATACATTTTGTTCTTCCTGCATTCTTTCTCTCTTACACTTAAAAATGTACCATGGTAAGAACATCCGTACTTTTGGATATGTAGCATGTAAATGAATATGCGCTTTCACTTGCAAAAACTAACCATGGTACGTTTTTTTTTTGTAGATTTATGCTATAATACTACCATGGTATTCTTGGAGTACCTTGCAATTACCATGATACATGAATTTCGGTACCATCGTACACATCAAAGTATCATGGTATACTGTCATCTGACTGTATCATGGTATTCTTGGAAGTACCTGATATAATTATTTTAGTACCATGTTATATTTGATAGTATTACCATATGATACTATCTCTACATCGTAGTGTTGTCACAGTATTTTAGTATATAGTGTTTATATTAAAGGGGTCATATGATGCGATTTCAAGTTTTCCTTTCCCTTTGGAGTGTTACAAGCTGATTGTGCATAGATAAGATCCCTGAAGTTGCAAAGACTAAAGTCTCAAAACCAAAGAGATATTCTTTATCAAAGTTAAGACTCTGCCACGCCCCCCTAAAATGGCTCGTTCTAACACGCCCCAACATATCTACCTCACTATGTGGAAATATTAGCATAATGCCGCCCAAATGTGCACGCAAAGAAAGAAGGCGTGGTTTCAGTAACCGCAGTTAGTGTTGAAGCAGCCATGTCAGGGAGACGCTGTGTGTTTCTAGGCGAAAGCAAAAGCACTTTATTTGGCCTTCCGAAAGTAGATGCATTTAGGAATCTTTAAGATTACTTACAACAGAACAGCAATGCATTTTATGGACGACCGTTTCGTGAACCTAGGAGAGGAAGTAATTCTGACTTTGCTATGACAATCCGGCGCTTCTGAATCAGCTACTGTTTTGTTACTAGTTTAAGTATTTATTAGTCAGGTGTGCCTGAAGGAGGAGGATGAGAGCACGGTCGCGGATGTGGGCGTGAGCGAGCTCGCGGGGGAACAAAAGGTGTTGGATATTCAGCGGGTGTCAATAGAGGCTAATGAGCAACGCTTCCAGCCCCAGGAGCGCAACGAGGCGGCGCCCTCCTCCGACGTTTCAGGGTCGAAGTTAAATGACATCTACACCACTGAGACTTTGCAGGGTGCAAATTGCCTCGCCATCAAAGAGGGCGAGATCTTTCAGGATAAAAGTGAGGAGGCCTCTTTGGATCTAGTGTTTGAACTCCTGACCCAGCTCCAGTATCACACGCATCAAGCGGACGCTGTATCGATCTGTGTGGATTTCCTCCAGGGCGTTTGCGTCTATGGCAGTGACTGTTCCCAGCATCACACCGTTCTACCTTACCACTGGCAAATCCGCAGAGCAGATACGCAGATCTGGCAGAGCATATCGGATGACTCTCAAGAACAACTGGAAAGGCTTTATTGCAACCCTGACAATGAACATGTCAGACTTAAGTTTCTGTAAGTGCTTCTGGTTTTGCCCTGTGGGTTAATGCCACTTTTCATTGAAACCTCTTGAGCAGTTTCAATCATTTATGCTTTACCCGAGTACAGCTAAGCTGAGCTTGCAGTTCAATGAGAAAACAGAAAAAAAATGGTGCAAGGGAGGGACTGGTATGATGCCCTACTGAAAAAAAAAAACGGCCTAAACCTGTCTGGTTGACTGTTCTTATCTGGTTTAGTTGACCAGCCAGCTGGTCTCCCAGCCTGATCTGCTAAAAGTGACCCAAACCATTCTACAACCAGAGAGACCAGCAAACCAGCTTAGGCTGTTGCTTTTCAGGCGTATTGTTGGAGACACCTAGTTGAAGTAAAAGAGTGCAGTACATGACAGGAAGTTGCCTTGTATGTAGGAGCGTGTGTTGTGGATGAGGTATATGTGACTAAGAGATTGCTTCTTTCCCATAAGCCTTCCGTTGGCTGGCCTGACGTGTGGAAGCGTACTGACAGCTGTGAGCCGTGAACTTGCTCGACCCGCCTCTGCTTAGTTTGGTCAAACGCACACACATACACGCGCACGCTCCCACTCACTGCGGCTTGCGCTCAGGCAGTCACACGCACTTGTCGCACAGACAGAGAAGGGCTCACACGCACAGTTGCTCACAAACACGCAAATAAATTAGCTTTAGGGACCTACGCAATTATGCACATTGCACACGCTCACCCACCCACACTTGCTGTCATGCACGCACACATTTATGCTCTGTAAATTCCTTTTTTAATTTTATTATATTGATCATTTACACACACAAACACAAACATTCTTAGACCTACCAATCATACACTCCATTGCCACAATTTATATCCCTGAGATGCAAACATGGTGGCTTGACCCAGCAGGAATTTTTTTTTTTGCCTAAACAAAAGGGCCCTTTTGTTTGTGAGAGTCTTGTTTAGGTCCCAAGCCTGATCTGTATGCAAAAGTGGTTTGCAAAAGGAAGTGCACTTGGTCATGACAAAGCAAAAGAGACAGTGATTTTTAATGCTCACCATGACACAGCTCCTGGCTGCTTCTTCCTTGAAGATAGCATTGTCGATTTGTCATGGAAATTCTGCTGCGGGACAGCCGACTATTTAGGGGGTCTTTGTCTACAGAGTTTAATAGACAGAATGGCTACGTAACTGTCTCTGTTGGCCAGTTTAGCCCATTTGCTCTCAGAACTGTGGCTCACAGTGACCTGTTTCATGTTAATAGCTAAAGCCGACCATTAACCTCCTGCTGACTTTGGTAGTTCAGGGGTAAAGTGAGACCCACAGAGCCTGTAAACCACACCCTTTTCGGGCTTTTCCAGTTTAAGATTTCAGAAAAAGACAAGGGTTTTAATTGATAAATATGGTTTAGAATTGAGATACAGTATTTAGATACTTTCTGGTTGTCAGACAAAGTGAAACATCTCCAAAAATGGCTTCTTAGATCTCAATTTGACATTATTTTTAATGCAATGTAAATCATTATTAATGCGACCAAAGTGCCCCAATATCCCAGGGCCACTGTACTTTTGAACGCCAACACACAGGCTCAGGCTGTTACTGTTTACACTGGTTTGCAGTAATCCCCGGGAGCAGAAGCTTTCTTCATTCTTGTATATATCCTAAGAAATGGATGAGCAGGCGCCCCAATAGTTTTTCTTTTTTGTGTCATTGTGTGAGAACCGTGACCCTTGATCCTGAAGGTTTGGTCTCCATGGGAGCAGCTGAGGGTGAGATGATTGTATTTGTCACACAATCTCACTGTGCACCAAGGGCATGGTGACCTGAAACCAAGGTGTTTGCATGTGTGTTTGCGTGCAATTGTGCCTGTGTGTGTGAGAAATGAGATAACACCTTAGACAGGCCATGAAATTATTCACACGGGTGAGGTCTCTTGAGATTTCTCACTTCACCATCAGTTTGACTCATACATTTTGTTCTTCCTGCATTCTTTCTCTCTTACACTTAAAAATGTACCATGGTAAGAACATCCGTACTTTTGGATATGTAGCATGTAAATGAATATGCGCTTTCACTTGCAAAAACTAACCATGGTACGTTTTTTTTTTGTAGATTTATGCTATAATACTACCATGGTATTCTTGGAGTACCTTGCAATTACCATGATACATGAATTTCGGTACCATCGTACACATCAAAGTATCATGGTATACTGTCATCTGACTGTATCATGGTATTCTTGGAAGTACCTGATATAATTATTTTAGTACCATGTTATATTTGATAGTATTACCATATGATACTATCTCTACATCGTAGTGTTGTCACAGTATTTTAGTATATAGTGTTTATATTAAAGGGGTCATATGATGCGATTTCAAGTTTTCCTTTGGCGCGTGTGTGTGTGAGAGAGAGAGAGAGAGACAGGGTCACATCACAGTGGAGTCAGCTGTCTTAACCGTGGCTTGTGTACTGCAAACACATACCAGCTTCATTACTGTGTCTGTCACGCGACTCTGTTCCCCTTTCGGGCTCTGTCTTTACATTTATTTTGAAAGATGAAGCTCGCGATTATGGTAAGGGGCATTACATTTCTGACGAGTGCTTGCGGTGTTCAGCCAATCACAATGCACTGGGTCAGCTGGCCAATCAGAGCAGACTGTGCTTGTCGGAAAGAGGGACTTTGTAGAAAACGAAGCGTTTGAGAGAGGCGTGGCATATAGGACCTACAATAATGTACAGTATTTGAAAAATAATGTGTTTTTTTTAACATTAAAGCATGTCAACATATTCTGATACACCAGATACACAAAATAATGGTCTTTAAAAAAGCATCATATGTCCCCTTTAAAGTACAATGATATTACCATGTGATACAACATAGTGACAGTATTTTTACCAGGCATTTTTTTCTGTTTCATACACTTATCAGTTTTTTTGTCTTTTGTGAGTGAGATCATTA